ATACCAGGTGACAGAGATTGCTGGGGGACTATGAGAGGGTGTAAGTAAGAGACAAGACTATTGGGCATTACTGAAGCAAGGTGAGGAACACGAGGGTTCCTTATACTACTGTCTTTCCATACACATTTGAAATTCCCCACAAAGTTACAAACAAACAAAAAACTTCAAAAGATACCTGCACAGAGATGGAGCAAGAAGGTGCAAAAAAGCTACTCAGGGACAGTAGCGACTTCGTGCCAACTTCATAAGCGGCCCACTCCCACAGAGAACAAACGGTTGGCAAGGACTGCATATCAGCAGCTTGTGCGAAGTGAGACTTTCAAATCTAGGCAGTCCTCATCAACCCCAAAATTTAGTGCACAAGCATGTGTATCACACCACTTAAACACTGTTCAAAACATAAATGTTCAATAAAATGTGTTGAGAACAGTAACATATATATAGCAGGCTACTCTACCAGGAACACTAACAATCAAGGCTCTTTTTAGCACAGACACCATTAACATTTCAACCGCAGGCTTCCCTGAAGAGTGCAGCTGTCTGTCTGTATCGTTCAGGAGGGTTAACAGCTTGGGAAAACTTAAGATTATAGCGAAGCTTCTTTTGACTGACCACCACTTAGCCAATCTGCTGGACAAACACACTAATACTCCCCATCCCCCAGATAGTTTAATTTTTTTTTTCACAGTTTAATTTTTATATGAACAATATTAAATGGTGGCCTTCTAGGACGCATTCACAGCTGTGCCATGTACTAAACTATAACTGCTTTTGCTTTCTCTGTACAACTTTAAAAATCTTCCCTGAAATTATAATATTTCCCCTGCTATGGTTTTCTATGCACTTACTAATTGCCTCCCAAACTCCCCATCGTCTAAATCTCTTCCAGAGGCCTTCAGCTGTACCATCATCCGTCTTCTTAAAGTCCTGCTTCCATCTGGGTGGTTACCTCTTGGCCTACCAACTGTCACCGAGGGCTCTCCCTTCACCATCCTCAAGGGATTCCTAAAACATTTGTTTTAGGCCAAATCCCCTGTCTTCCACAACTTCTGTCCATCTTTTTCTGAGTATAGGTCCTCATTTGGTGGATCATAATCTCCAGTAACCTTCCAAGAAAGGGTGTGTGGCAGTTCCATGTTATGAGACTTCTCATTTCCAAAAACGTCCTTTTTTAACCTATGCATTTGATTGCAAGTAAGGACAGATACAGAATTCTAGACTGGCAATTCTTTTCCTCTGAAATTTTGCTCCTTTATTTCCAGGGTTGCTGCTGAGTTGCACTAAGTTTTGCCCTTTTCTTTCTGTCTTTTTAAACTCCATTCTTGGTTTTCCTAATGTATCTTTTGAATAACATCCTATTGCTTTATGGTTGTAATATGCTTTCTTATTTCATTGGGATTAATTCTTTTTAAGTTTTCTTCTCCCTGAAGAGTTTTTGCTTCCTCCAACTTGTGTTATTTCTCTTCTGGGCACTATACTTTTCATGTTTGAGTGTTTCTTGTGATTGTCTAGTATTCCTTGGTTATGTATTTATTATAAAAATAGGGAACCAAAAAGCTGAATATTAGCTTGGAGTGATGATTACTATGAGGTTTGGTTTTTTTTTTTCCCTCTGTGCCTAGTCCTACCCTATCAAGAATGATCCTCCAATCTCTTGCCTGGAGAAAGATGGCCTGGCTGTTGGTGCTAATGGGAGGCCCAGAGGGCAAGGCGACTATGGTCTCAGGAGCCAAATGTGTACGTTCACCTGCTCCATGTGTTTTCTATATAGTTCCTTTGCTTCTAATGGGAAGCTGTGTAATGGGGTCTGCTGTCCTCTAGCCCAGGTACCTTATGTTACCTTCTTCATGTGGGGCAACTGGTCCTCTTACATTGGTAGTGGGAATGTAAATCAGTACAATCATCCAGGAAAAATGTCTGATAGCACATACTAATGCTGTATAAATGTATAATCTATTCCTTTCCCCGTACATACCAAACAGAAATGAGCGCCTAAGTCCTCCAAAAGACATGCACAAGAATGTCACAAATGCTTTACTCGTAAGAGTCAAAGGTGGAGACAACCCAAATGTCTATGAGTGTGTAAATAAGTTATGGAATATTCATCCACACAACACACATATCTTGATGTGGATGACGATTAGACAGGTACGTATGTATATGTAAAAATTTAGTCATCTGTACGCCTATGACTATATACATTACCATTTTAAGTTACATACCTCTTAAAAAAATCTTTTTTAAAAAGCCGATTATAGGAATGTTTTGAGAAGTTTAAAATCCCTTACTAATCTGTTAAGATAAATTATTATTTTCCAAAGCCTAAAATTTATAGCCTAATGATCAGGAGAATTTTTATCAGTATTTAAATTTAAGTGGGTAAGTAATAACTTAGTGATCAAACATTCACTTTAAGAACACTCAACACTAAAGTGTAATTTATTGGGAACTCAGAACACACTTTTCATTCAAATTCAATGCTGTCAGGACCACACCAGATACTTACCCTTCTAACCTGACATCTGGTAAAGATCTGTTGAGTGCGATCATCTCACTCGCCATTAAATTGAACTGATTGATTTTAAACATCTCTTTCATCTTTTCTTGATCCTCTTTAGGAATGACGACTGGTTTCCCCATTTCTCCAGGACCTTCATGAGGCTTTTGTATTGGCTCTAGAACTAAGAATACAAAAGAAAGTTAACTAACATCAATTTTATAGCAATTGATAAATGTTTCTATTTTAATAATATGAGTTTAAACTGTGCCCTCAACAACCAGAGCCATTTCTGAGCCCTTCCTCTCCCAGTCTGTAAAACCTCCTAGCGGCTGCCCTGTCCTCCTCCTCCACACCAGCGTCCTCACTCAAGACCTCCTCACCCTGCACTACTCACCTGCATCATGCACAGCCTTGGCATTCCCATCTCAAATATCGTTACCACATTAACCCTCTAAAGCACGACTTTCATTGTGGTATTCCTGTGAGCTCTAGAGTCTAACTCTTTAATAGGGAATTTAACCTTTCAAAATCGACCATCTGCTCAGCCCTCTACCAAGCCACTCCCCACCCCTACTTCGGTACTTAATCCTTCAGTCAAACAGCAACTTGCTACTTTCCTTCATATGTGCCTCGTATTTTCCTGCTTTGGTGCCTTTGCTCACAGAAGTCCCCTCTCACTGCACCTCCAAGTCTTATTTCTGTAATACCAAACACCTACTTGTCTTTTAAGACCCAGCTAAAAGAGATCCTCTTGTCTGCAGCTTTTCCAAATCTCTCTACAGTGATCATCTACTACTCTTGAATGCCACATCATTTCATCATCAAGAGCTCTTACATCTCTTATCAACTGCTACCTCCTATGATTGCTAACCTGTCCTGTGGGCCCCCCACTAGATTACATCTCTTTTTAGCTCTGGTTTGATTCATTCGTGTACCTTTCGTGGAATTCATAATACTGTCCTATCGGAGTTTTATAACTATATGCTCAATTAAATGTGAACACTATTCAAAATAAGTCAAAATGAAATCCTAGAATCAATTAAGACATTATAATAAGCATTAAGCAAGGTGGAGCATCATGAAAGATAATTCTACCCGGAAGTAATATTATCTCTTGGTATATACATAAAAAGAGTAATATTCAGGGGCGCCTGTGTGGCTCAGACAGTTAAACGTCTGCCTTCAGCTCAGGTCATGATCTGAGGGTCCTGGGATCAAATGCCACGTTGGGCTCCCTATTCAGTGGGAAGTCTGCTTCTCCTACTTCCTTTGCCCCTGCCCCACTGGTGCACATGAGCACTCTCTCTCTCAGATAAATAAAATCTTAAAATTAAATTTAACTTAAAAAATAATATTTAGCAATTTCCAAATACTGTTTCTTGTTTTACACTTTTGAGATGTTCAGAAGTGTTTTCTGTAATTTTTTTTGCTTGTTTTCTATAATTTTAAAGTTATTTCCTTTACAACTTCAAGAAAAAAAAGTTCTCAGATACATTAAACTTGGAAAAAAGTATATTAAACTTCTCATCTAAAAGGCAAAAGGAGAGAATGAGGTAAGGCCAAGAATGGGATAAAAATACCTGTTTTGTACATTACTTGTTTATTTTTTTTTTTTTAAAGATTTTATTTATTTATTTGACAGAGAGATCACAAGTAGATGGAGAGGCAGGCAGAGAGAGAGAGAGAGAGAGGGAAGCAGGCTCCCTGCTGAGCAGAGAGCCCGATGCGGGACTCGATCCCAGGACCCTGAGATCATGACCTGAGCCGAAGGCAGCGGCTTAACCCACTGAGCCACCCAGGCGCCCCTACTTGTTTATTTTTAAAGCTGAAATTTCTATTCTCTCATTGTTTATTTTTTTAGGCACCTCTAAAAAGTCTCTACACAAAAATAGAGACATTGAGACAGTAGACAAACCATCTCTCTTCAGCCAGGTTTCATCTACCCAAGAATATCACTAGCTAGTAAAGCTGACCTGTAAGATGGTTGCTTCAGATGGTGGTACAAAGCAACCTACAAACACCAGGGCTGTAAAATATGAAATTATTGTGTCTTCAACAACTCTATCTAGAATATAAAAACATATCTTAGACAACCATCAAGAAAAAATGGTATAAAATAATTCTGTTCCTGTTCTCAGAATGAACTGTGATTTTAGGAGGGCATTAAAATATTAGGAAATAACTTTACAATTATAGAAAACTCATGTAAAACCATTTTTAAAAACCAATCCTGCCTAATGTTTGCCAAGTAACTAAGCTCTTTATTTTTTTAAATTTCATTTTATAATGTGTTCTTTTTTAAAGATTTTTTTATTTATTTACTTAACAGAGATCACAAGTAGGCAGAGAGGCAGGCAGAGAGAGAGAGGGGGAAGCAGGCTCCCTGCTGTGCAGAGCCCAATGTGGGGCTCGATCCCAGGACCCTGGGATCATGACCCGAGCCGAAGGCAGAGGCTTTAACCCACAGAGCCACCCAGGCACCCCAAAAGGGCGGGTGTGCTGCATGGGCCAGGAATTGAACCTGGGCCTCCCACGTGGCAGGTGAGAATTCTACCACTAAACCACCCGTGCACCTTATAATGTGTTTTTGAGAGGGTATGCATGTGCGCAAGTAGGCAGGGGGTGGGGAGAGAGAGAATCCTAAGTTGGCTCCATGCCCAGTTGGAACTCGAGGTAGGGCTTGATCTCATGACTCTGAGATCATGAACTGAGCTGAAATCAAGAACTGGATGCTTAAGTGAGCCACCAAGGCATCCCAGGGAGAGAGATTTTTTTTTTTTTAATTTTATTTATTTATTTGACAGAGAGCAAGAGATCACAAGTAGACAGGGAGGCAGTCAGAGCGGGGGCGGGGAAGCAGGCTTCCTGCTGAGCAGAGAGCCTTATGTGGGGCTCTATCCCAAGACCCTGAGATCATGACCTGAGCGAAGACAAGAGGCTTAACCCACTGAGCCACCCAGGTGTACGGGGAGAGAGAATCTTAAGCAAGCTCCACACTCAGCCTAATGTGGGGCTTGATCTCATGATCTTGTGATCATGACCCAAGACAAAATCAAGAGTCTGGCACTTAACTAACTGAGGCACCCAGATGCACCAAAGCTCTTTAAATATTAGGGTTGACAGATTACAAAAACTGTCAGTGACAAGTGTAATAAAAACTATAATACAAACACAGATGTATAATCCCCACATATAATTTTAAATGTTTAAAAATCATAAATTATAAAACACTTAGAGTCAATTCTACTTAATTACCTGTCTCTGGGGAAAAAAAAAGAGCAACCAACAGATTTGGGGATTGGGATGTTCAGGGCTTCACAGAAAGCAGTAGAGTTCTGGCGGTGGCAATCAACCTGTGTATTTGGCAGAGTTAACACAAATAGTAGGTAGGAGACATCTAGTGGCCTTAATTATAAATCTCTCTCAGTTATCTAAACCCTATTTTAGTATAAGATAATACTTTAAAGTTAAAATGAGAAAAAAGTTTTTCATGCTGTTTAGTTTTTAAATTAAGAAGAATATTAAGTTATACAGAATGCCGTCTAGAACATATTATTGCTCGGGTGAGGTGACGGGGGTAAGGGTAGATCCTGAACTTATAAAGCATCCGGGCCTACCTACTAAATTCACAGAAAATATAGGGCATTGAAGGACATGACAAAAAATGTTAAAGAGATGCAAATCCTGACTACAGAAAACTGGGAAAAAGAAAACAGCCAATTTCTTCATTAAAAACAACAAAAAGATTGAAAGGGAGGACAGAGAAAAAGAGGTACTCATGTATCCATGCCATAAGACTAGTCTTGAAGAATTGACAACTGCTGGAGCCAGATGGTGGGTATATGGGAGTTCTATTGTCTCTACTTTTTTTTTTTTTTTTCCCTTTCTTCTCCTAGTCTTTTATTTGTTAAACAGTAATCTTTAACAATAAATGCCAAAGGAAAGCAACAAACAAAAGCAGGGATTTGCATAATAGATGGGAATGACTGTGAGCCATGGCAGACCAGAAGTTTCTGTTTTCTTCTGTGGGGCCAGGAGTCCACAATGTGGTGTGCTCATCTTTCTTTTCCCCCACAAAGGTCACAAACAGCTTAGATGGGAGGCTGAACGCGATGACTGGTCCTAATTTTTGCTATTCAACCATTTTTCTTGATCTTGCTCTCTGACTCCGTACATTCCAGACTGTTCAATGGATTTGTAATAAACTTCCAAGATGAAGGGAAATTTCTTGCTCATCATTTGCCTGAAATCTTGGCTTGTGTTCATCTTACTAAATAAAAAATATGCTCCAAAAACGCCCAAGAGTTCAGCTACTAAAACTCCTTTAAAGATCTTCTTTGCCACTGGTTCCATAGTGCGGGCCATCATATAATCAACAGGCAGGTGAGTGGGTGGGGAGAACTGTTTTGCTGTTTACGATGCTGTACCTGAGGTGCTCTATTGTCTCTACTTTTATTTATGTTTGACATTTTCAGTGGGGGTTGGGGGAGCATGAAGGAAGACTCCGGAAATTATTACTGTGAGGACTAGTAATAAACTTGATAGTTTACAGAGTAAGAGACTATATGGTCAGAATGTTAAATGCCCCATCATTACGAAGTAAAACTCTGGCTTTAATATCTCAAAGAAGCAGACAAAACTGTACAACATATACAATCCTGCTGTTGCAACATTTTACTGATTTGACCACTTGGTACTTACTGGTAATCAGAATATCTAGTATAATGCCCACATTATATCATTTAACCTACTGGTACACATGAGATTTCCAAGCTACAGAAGAAATTACCAAGAATTATATGACTACTACATGACTTACAAAATCCACCACAATAATCTAGAGATTATAATATCCTAAAGAATTAAATGGACTAGTCAAATAGTTTCCTTTGGCAAAGAGCTCAGGATAAAATGCATGTGGATAATGAATATATTTTCACTACTAATGTGCTAGCAGATTGCATGGTAAGCATTAACTTCCAGGCATTCTACTTTCCAGTCTTTTAGGTAAATTAAAAGTGAGTTCAGTGAAATTTTTGTTTCAGAGCAACCAAAATGGGGTTTGGATATCATTTCCTGAACTGAAAGAAAATTCTTCTTGGCATAAAATTTTAAATGCAGATCATTTCTAACAAATCCAACTTTGACAAGGGAGATGTTCACATTAATGTTAATCCAAAGTATTATGTCAGAACAAATGCTTTTTATATTTTGAGTAAACTTCATTTATAAGACAATAAAGTGTGTTTTAAAAACTTAATTACCAAGAAAACTACAGATTGATTCTGAATGTCACAAATCATATCAATATACACAAACCACATGATATACCTTTGACTGTACTTTAATAAATCTTAGAAATTTTTAATTTGTGGGGCGCCTGGGTGGCTCAGTGGGTTAAAGCCTCTGCCTTTGGCTCGGGTCATAATCCCAGAGTCCTGGGATCAGCAGGGAGCCTGCTTCCCTTCCTCTCTCTCTGCCTGCTTCTAAGCCTGCTTGTGATTTCTGTCAAATAAATAAATAAAATCTTAAAAAAAAAAAGAAAATTTTAATTTGTGTTTTTCTCATGTAAAGAGAATAAAAAAGTATAAAGTTATAATACCCTTTGGGGGAAAAATACTAATAAAAGGCTAAAATCATTTCTCCCAAATGATTTTATCTTCTTACAAAATTATCATTCTTACTGTTTTTAGGCATATTTTACCTATCCCAAAATGTTTTTCCACATTTTAATAATCTCCGAAAATGGGATGTGGCTTAAATGTTAACTGGAATGTTTCTGCTTTCTTAGTATAAGTATTCTATAAACAAAAATAAGATGGTGATGAAATACAGCAAATTACCTGATTTTTTTAACGTCAAAATTATAGGAGCACCTAGGTGGCTCAGTGGATTAAGTGTCCGACTCTGATTTCAACTTAGGTCATGATCTCAGAATCATGAGTTCAAGCTTGGCATCAGGCTCCGTGCTGAGTGCGAAGTCTGCTTAAGATTCTCCCTCTCCCTCTGCCCCTTCCACTCCCTCCTTGTGCACGTGTGCTCTCTCTCCCTCTCTCAAAAAAAAGTAAATCAAAATTATATAGTAAAATTCACTGATTAACTCTCTGCTACCTCAAATCCTTGTCAGTTTCAACTCTCATTCCAAAGTTATGTTCAATTTATTTGTAATGTGTTCAGTATATAAACCTCTACACATGCAAAAAACCTGTAAGTTTCTGAAAGCCTTTACTAATAATATTTTTTTAAGTTTTTAACCGCCAAAAGGCTTCCTGATGTTTGAAAGTTGAAATAATCCTAGCATACACACATGAAAACTTGAATTATCAACATATTAATGATTGGAAAATTGAGTATAGTGCTGGCATAAAAGTTCAATTCCTACTAGAAACTGCATCTGTAAAAACACTGAATATTTTATACAACATCCAAATCTATAAATTGAATGAACGAGCTAATTAGGAAGGCAGGAGGGCAACAAAAATATTCCCAGGATACAACCCACACTAACCCCAGTTTTTCAAGAGGATCCTGTCTAATTCTCTAGCAAGAGAAGAATATTGCTATTCTCAAACAGCCTGGGGTATAAAATGCCAAGTATAAAAGTATGAGACAGAACTGCTCAGGAAACAAACCAAATCAAAACCAACCTTTCTGTAATCACAAAGACTGGCCCACTATTACGTGAAGTAGGCAAGTAACAAGTAAATCCTAGAAAAGAGATTATCATTGACAATCTTTTAAAAGATACAACATTATGGTAAAGATAATCGATCCATTCCACCTAAAAACAGGACACCTTTATTCACAATATAAAGATCAGAATTGGATAAATTTCAATTTATCAAATGGGCACTGTAGAGCAGTTCCAAGAATGTTCAGAATGAGATCTCTGTCATACTGAAACAGTAATTCTGTTCATTATTTTTTGCCTTATGCGTTTTTGGTTTTTCAAATGCCGTAAAAACCAAAGACCCTAGAGACTACATGGTACTTTCAAGAGCCCTCCACTCTTCCGATCAGCGGGTGCACCTGCTTCTCCACTAAGAAGGTCCGTGACCTTGGTGCTCTCAGCTATGTGTCCTTTCCCAGCGGCTTCAGTGCAAGTTCTCAAGGGCGCCACTGCAAGCCCTTCCCAGCCTTAAGCTGAGAACGCAGGGACTTGAGGGCGCCAGCACCACCCACGACCTCCCAGCTCCTACTGCACTGAAACTTCACAGGGAGCAGATTATTCAAGCCATTCTTAGCACCACCTGTCCCCCTTCCTCCAATCGTCTTCCCCCTTTCCCTTTAACTCCTTGAGGCTACAAGGAACAAAGTTGCAAAGGGATGCTCCACCCAGAACTGCCAGCCTCCCACTCTTGTCTCCTTCCACACTCTCTCCTCACCCTCATGTGTATTGCTCAGTCCTTCTCTCTTGAGCTTCCCTCCTTCTCAGTCGTCCCACCAAACACCCAAGATCCCCTCCCTGGCCATTTTAAGCTGCTTTATCGTCTTTCTCCACAACACACAGGCCCCTTCCACTGGACTTAACTCAACTCTGCCCTCCCCCAGAGCCCACTAGCCTCACAAAC